TTGCGATTTTTTTTAACCATGTTCGCCATTTTGGATCGAGTTTAAAGAACAAGAAACTGGATTTAAAATTTAATTTTCTATACGGTCATATTTTTTTGTCCAGGTAATAATTTCTGCTAATTTAACATTAATCCGTGACAGAATGCTTGGACTAATTTGCAACAAAAAAAAACTGGTCTGCCGGCCGGTAAACACGAACACGTGCTCTTTGTATTGGTAAAATTTTGAAATAAATATGGAATGAGTAATGAACTACAATTAATAAATTATGAAAATATTTACCAGAGGATCTGATAAACTATTTTGTTTTTTTATTTCTATTTTTCTCCTATTTTATGTTTCTCAATAGGTTCAGGGTGTTTAATACTACATTAATTATAATTCATAACATATTTTATCTATATATTTTTAAGAAAAATAATGAAATTTTTCTGTACATTTTAATTGTCTGGAATACAGTTGCATTGTTATTTAAAATCATTAAAACTGTCTTTACCACAATGTTTCCATACTTCCAACATAATGATAATAATCACAAATATTTCACAAATATGTCTGTTAAATGAAATTAAAATATATAGAACATTAAGGGTATAAAATGAGCATCATTTTGCATTCGACATGCCCAGTAATAAAGAATCTGGGGAATTTGAAGTTTTTGTCAAAAAAGTTGTTTGGTATATCTAGTGTTTACGAAGATAGTTGAAACCGTATAAAAACTAAAAGTCGGCATCTCTTTCCGGGCACAATAAAGAGATGCCGACTTTTAGTTTTTATACGGTTTCAACTATCTTCGTAAACACTATAATAAATGTTTAAATTTTTGATAGTATCAAGTATAGTATTCCTCTGTTTCCACATCCAATATTTTATTAAAACACTGTAGGTCATTATATTATTTTTCTGTGCAAATATTAAAATTATCTGACAATTCTTGTTCATTGCACATATTTTCCTTAATGCGGCTCTGGACGATAATAGGCTTACCAATGCCCTGAGAATATATAGTTACCGATTAAAGAAATCTTTACGTCGATTGCTATGTGGTATTACGAAATTGTTCTAGTTTGGCATTACGCTAGTAGAGACCGCCACTTCCTGGATGGATTTTCTACTATCTGTCAGGTGCTATCGCTGTCTTACCAAAAGTGCGATTTCTTGTCTATAAAACGGCGCCCTTAACGTGGATTATTAAAATGTTGCAAAAACTGCTCAAGAAATGCTGTCATCAAGCTCTACAATTAAAAAAAATCCGGTTAAAATCGCGCAATTAAGATTTTAAAGGGTGATCCGACAGCAGATAGCTCATAGATGAACTTTTTTATTCATCCGTGTTTTAAAACATTTTTACACTTTTTTTTAACATTCCGTCTCTCATCTCGAAACAAATTATAAAAAACTGCTTGTTTTCGTTGCACGACGATCGTTTTTCGTGCCACTCTGTATAACCACAGGATTTTTCTCCTTCGACAGAAACCCCCGAGGCGTTCCTCGTATCGATAGAAAACAATTAGAGATCTATCGAAATCGGGCCCGTCAAGGAGCTCCGGTTCCCAGACTCAAAAGACGGTGAAAAATTACGCGTGCTGATTTGCCAGTTTGGAGGTCGAAGAGCGCTTCGTTTTTGTTTGCCTGCCTTGGCTGCCCAACAAGGCAGGGCTAGGCCTACGTGGATGTGAACATTCCATTGAAAATAGCACACACCACCCCCTGTGACGTCACATGTTAACCTTTAGAATGAATTAAAATCGTCACGGCATTGGAAACTATACGCAAATTTTACTTTCTTGGCTTTGTTTAAACTAACGACTACGTGTTTAAGTCAAAAATAGCTAAAATTCTGTTCGAATCAGTAATTAGTAATTACTTTCCTGCGACCTGCGATTTAAATACGCTGTACCAAAATTACTTAAAAGAGTAAGAAATAATGCGACAAAACGTGTGCGAGTTAAAGTCACTACCAAAAATAGACCACAGCTGAGTTTGATCTCACCCCTGGACCTCCGGCAACAACAAACGGGGATCAATACCCCAAAAACATAACCTACAAACTAGCCCCTCCAAACAAACGGGACGAACTTACCTTTCGCGTCCGTCCTCGACTGTACCTCTCAATGTCCTGCGGAGAACGCCACAAAACACTCTAAAATGCCAAACGGGAGGACGCGGGGTTGGAAATTTTATCGCACTGCTTCGAATTTCGACCGACTGCACCACCGCCTCGGTACAAAAACAACTGACGGTCGCGCGTACGCTCGCCTGCCGCCGCAGAAAAGCCGGGAGCGCCAGTCAAGGCGTTGCCATGGTTACGCGTCGAGGTATGGGCAAGGTGACTGTTAGGTGTTTCTTCCCGTGGTGTGTCGGTTTTTTTTTAAGGAAATCGAATGAGTTGCAGGGCCTACAAGGGCAGGTTTCTTGGAAATTAGACGAGCGGTGTCTATATTGGTGGCATTGTCAACTTTGCGGCATAATGAAACGGGGCACAATTGTATGCGTCGACGTAAATAATTCTTAAACTTCCAGTGACAGTAAAGACGTCAATGCACAACCAAACAATTTGTTTATATTATACTTCCTCACATATATACTATAGGTACTTTGTCAAATATTAAAAATGATTTTCTATTCGGTATGTCAAAATTTAAGGCGAAGGTTAACGATAAAATAATTTAACAGGGTGTTAAAAAACCTAATGGAGTAGTTCAAATGTCATAGTAGATTGTTACGAAGTAAGCTCCGCCATGTGTTGTTGACACACAGAAGTAAAATTTAAATTGTTTAAAAGCAATTTTTACAAAAACCATTTCTAGTTTTTACTGTTGTCTTTTACGGACTGTAAATTTATTAGTGTCTTATATTATTTACGATCAGCAATATACAAATTAATAATATGTATTTCTCCAACAACATAAATACAGAAACTATACGTTTATACCACAGACCACCTAGACTGGCCGTATCTAATTCCAATGCACGAGTACCTAGTGATGGGAGATTTCGAGTGAAAAATCGAGTGGTACTCGATTATTGAGATCACTCGAGATATCTCGAGATGTTTACCCCCATCACTCGAGTGATTATTACCCTACGGTTGCACCCCAAAATGTTAGTGCATACTGCAAATAGTCACTGATTGCGTAACCTTTTTTTAGAATAAAACGAAAAAGTGGTTAGGTTTTGAAGTGCGTGAGCTTTTTTTTTTTTAGCTACGCTTATAAGTAATATATGACTAATACAAACATATTTGTGCGCCGCTGGGATGAAAATGACCAATATCTCGTATCTCGAGTGATCACTCGATTATTAGAAGTACTCGATTACCGATAACTCGATTATCAAAATTGGTCGATTATGCCCATCACTACGAGTACCAGTGAATGCAAAATCCGGGGTAGTGGAGTGTCGACGGCAATCTGATCGCGCGCATCTTTAAGCAGATCCGGATTAAGTAATATTTTTATTACATATTAAACATTATATTGCATCTTATGACAAATATTCAATTTAAAGTCTGTAATTATTCAGAAAATAGTATATTTTAGTGTCATATTAACTAAAACTACAAAATAATTTAAATATATTTATTATCCTCTAAATAATATTAATTTATTTAATATTTGCCTTTTCGTAGATTTTACCGAATTAAATAATTTGACTTCATGATTTATTCGTACATCGATATACTTTTCACATTCAGCCCTTACAAGTTCTATTAAATGATTACAATTGTTAGGCTAATTATTAAATTGATGTTCATGCAAATTTTCAAATATGTTCACATTCAGAAAGTTTTTTAATACATGATAAACAATTTCATTTTTCTGTAGCCTTGGTGTTCGCTTTCATCATTATTTAAAAATTTTATTAATTTTTCCATTTCTTAGCATATTACTACGACATCTCGAGATGGATACGTCAAACAACCACGATCTTTAATAAAAATTAATTGACTGTACGAATACTGAATCTGAAATTAGTTTTGTTTGCGATTTTTTTAATTGAAAAAAATATTTCATTAATTTTCAGCTATCTCGAAATGACGGGAATTGGTAAAATTTCATAAAGATTTAAGACTCGCATAAAGTAAATAATTACTAATAATATTTTACAGTAATTCATTCATTATTTTATAATAACAATATCACGTTAATCACTACACTATGTGGGCGAACAAAATTATAAAGCTAACCCTCGAAACTTGTGACGTCAACCGAAAAATGGCGTACATATTTACCTTTTATATATTCCTTTTTTTTTTACTTACCTAAAGAAGGAAATTTTCGCTTCTCTTCACCAACTCGATCACTTGTATTTATACAACGTTTTACAATACACTTGCCCATGATAAAACGTCTAATTATCGAAATCACAGCGATGCGTACACGTCAAATGCTAGGACACGACTGAGCGCTGGGCTCCAAAACAGGCTTCAAAGTGTTTTCACCAAAGTCGCTCTATAAGCCAGTCTAGGTGGTCTGTGATTTATACATAAAAAAAGCAATGTTTACAATTAAATACTGATTTCAGACAAATCTATTACTAATGATTTCAATCTTGAAGTGTTTTCAATAGAAATTTACTCACTTTTCAACTTTTTCAAATATACTGTTAAAGTGCACCGTTCTTAAGAAAACTTTATTCGAATGTTCTATTGTTCTTATCGAATACGCTCTTACTAATGTTTGGCGTTTGGCCAGTAGGGGGCGCTTAGCTTGTAAGATTAGCCGCCAACTGTCTTCTATAGGGAAATAGCTATAATTAATTCGTTTTTTATCAGAAAATTAGCAGCAGAATATGAATTTATTGTTATTACCTACATGTTATTAATTACGACGAGCGTACATTTCGAAACAATCGAAAGTCCGACGAAATTTATTCAAAAATTATCTGCGTTTCTCCGTGTGGGTACCCCAATATTTTCCGGTATAAATTGCCGTCTGAATTTAGACGACGGTTTACGTTCCGTGTTACAACTACATGATTCTCGCGCGAATAAATAAATAAAATGGGCTTTGATTCGCATTCCCCGGTCGTGAATGGCGTGTATGTTTATTTATTCCTCATATTTACATCGAACACGGTGAGTCGCTGCTATTAATTATTAATTTTGTGTGTGTTTCGCACGAGCTACATCCATTAGACCGTATATACTGCTCGTATGCTGCGGGGATGTGTAATGTTTGCTATTTTATGTATAAATATGCGTCGCGTTAAAACGCGATTCGTTTTTTTTGCGCATTTTTATTGAATTCCACTGAGAAGAAGGTAGGTGTGGTAAAGTATAAGGGGTTTATTTAAAATAATGGAGCTAAATCTTTCATTTACCAAATTGTATACAAAATTATTCGTTAAAATAATAATTAGTATCAACTCTCAACATCAGAGAAAGTTAAAATTGCCAAAATTACGTTAAAAAGGACAAGATAGAATCGCCTCAGAAATTAGTAATTTGTAATTATTTATTAACGAAAAATAAAACCACTGTTTTTATGAAAATTAGCGAAAAAAAAGACCCGAAAAAAGTCCTATTCGCGATATTATTGTAAAATTGTCTAAAGGAACATAATACAAGACATCTCTCATCTCAATTTTATTAGCTAACTTTTCTATTTGATTTGATGAAAACAGTTTTTTCGCTTTGCAGGAAAAACCACAATTTTAGCGAAAAGTGACTCGGAGACAGCTTGTAGGGAGTAAAATTATCTACAAAACGAGACTTGTTAAATTAAAATCGGTTAATAAACAAAAAAGTTATTGCAAAAAAACAAGAAAAGTGCCCATTTTTTAATTTGTTTTTAACTATCGCATTTATTGTTAAAATTTTATAAAACCTATGACAAGATGAGGGTTTTGTCATACTTTAAAAGTGTGCCAAAAGTGGGCGCTGTAGGTGCAATAGTTTTCGCACAATTCTATTTGTTTATAACGGAGGCTCCAAAAGTTATGAACTTTAAGCCTCTGTACAGGCGTTAATTTTCAACCAAACACGATTCTGAAAGCATCATTGTAATCTTAAAGACGTAATTAAGCGACCTATTAAAAAATATCACCGTTTTTTTGACACTAACATTCTCAAATTGTGCATTAAAAAACCGTGCGTTTTTCGCTTATAAACAATTTGAATAAAATTGTTGCTATTTATGCTACCTCACCGAAAATAGATGCAATGGATAGCTGGCAAAAAACTACATTTATTTTTAAAGCACCCTCTACGACCAACAGGAGCCAAGATAAGAATTTTTTTAAATCGTAGCGCAATTGTTTATAAATATTAAGGCTTGAATTTTTCGTAAAATAAAGTTTACAACGTAAACTACGATTTCCCGTGAATTGCATTAAAAATGTGGAAAATTAACGACTCACGAGCCCTTTATAGAGAAGGTACTTGCTAAATAAAATGTCTGGCGTGGTGGTGGGGGAAGCTCATCCAAAGTTCAAATTGATGCGCGCTGTAAAATTTTGCAATATCTCGGCTTCTATTCATCGTAGAAACATATATATTTTTTAAACTGCATCTTTTATACTGAATTTTTTTTAATTTACAAAAATGTTACGAAATATTAATTAAAATTTCAATTTTGGAATTATATTACTATTATTAAATAAATAAATGAAGCTATCGTTCATTTAAAAAGTTATTTTTCATAAAAATAGAAAAAGTTTTAAATTTTAAATTGTATTATATTGCATTATATCTATTATTGAAAATGGTTGTGATTAATATTTTTTGAATTACTTTTGATTATGTTGCAAAAATTTTTTTGTATAAAATTAGTAATAAATATAATAAAAAAACTTTATATATTAAAATTTCAAGAAGTTAAAATTGTAATTTTATCGACCGCATTATTTTTTTTATATTTTTTAATTTTGTGAATTTTGCAGTAAATTCCAATGCTTTTTATTCTTTTTAAATCTTTTAACAATAAATAATAATTTGAAAACAATTTGTGAATTTTTACTTTAACAAAATATTGAATAAATAAGTTCACTTTGCCTTAATATACAGTGTGTTTCAGGATTAGTTTAAGGAGATATTCCTCATAAAAAATAAGAATAAAATCAAGTATACATTTTTTTCCAGAGACGCTTCATTTTCAAAATATAGGGCGTTAAAGATTTTTAAAAAAACTCGAATTTTTTTTTTTAAATAACTTCTAAATGAAGAAGGCTATTTAAGCCAAATTTGGCATGACACATCTTCTTATAAGATACCATTTTTCCATAGAAGTACAAGTCCCGCAAGCAACCAGTGGCGGAGTTATGGGGACTCAGACTCATTAAATTATAAAAAAATTAATACGGCCCTACTATATTTTTTTAGGTTTTATGAGGAACGTCTTCCTAAAGTTTATCGACAGAATCCAGAAGCACCCTTCCGAAAAATCAATTTTGCCATAAAACTATAAGTTAGGAAAAAAAGTGAATGTACACTTTTTGTCAATAACAAACTGTTCTATCTAAAAACAGCATCATTTTTTATTTTCAGTAGGACCTTATTAATTTTTTTTATAATTTAATGAGTCTCCATAACTCCGCCACTGGTTGCTTGCGGGACTTCTACTTCTATGGAAAAATGGTATCTTATAAGAAGATGTGTCATGCCAAATTTGGCTTAAATTTATACTTGATTTTCTCTTATTTTTTATGAGAAATATCTCCTTAAAGTTTGTCGACTTAGTCCTGAAACACCCTGTATAAAAAAATTACTTATATAATGATCACTTTTCTTGTTTTTTTGCAATAACTTTGTTGTTTATTAACCGATTTTAATTTAACAAGTCTCAGTTTGTAGATAAATAAAACTTTTTGACTCGCGAGATGAGAGATGTCTTGTATTATGTTCCTTTAGACAATTTTACAATAATCTCGCGGATAGGAATTTTTTCGAGTAAAAATTTTATTTGCTTGGCCTATTAATGCTAATTACATTAAAAAGTGTTTGAAATTTCCTTTCAAATTATATAAGCATTGTTAGGGTTGCCTTTACTACATTTAGAGATATTTGCAATTTTCCATTTTTTGGACAGTTTTTCTCGTATCTCACCTGTTGTCAAGTTGGCTAGGACCAGAAACTCTACAAAAACAATTGAAATAACTTGACATTTATCAAGTCAGTTGTCAAATTATTGTTGTGTCTGAATAGTTTTTGCCGAAAATTTAAATAAAAATGCCTAGGGATCATTTAAATTATATTAATGAGGATTATTTTAATTTGTTTGTTATTTATGGAAAATGTGCAAAGCAGCAAATTCAAATTACTTTGTCACATGTACTTATAAGTGTAGTGTGCATGTGGATGGGAAGATTCTGACAACTTTAGTTTGACGGGTTGTTGACTAACGTACTTTCTAGTAACTAATATGATACATTATTCATATTTTATTCCAGGTGCATAACCAAGAAGTTACAACTGTCCCTGCCATACCAGAAAACGACACTGTCACTGTACCGCTTTGTAAATCATCACAGTCCCCCTCGAATTGTACGAATTTAAACAGCGACGCCCTATCAGACGAGTATCCATCTTGGGAATCGCCGGAAGCGCCTATAGATGGCGCTGCCGCAAGCAATTTCCCTCAGGGTTCCAAAAATGTTAACAGACCTCTAGCGGTACACCTTATCCAGAAGTTCTCCACGTGGACGAGGCCTTTCTACGAGAAATTCAGCAGGATCAAGGACCTGTTGGGCCACCCCGATCACCCCAATTACGGGGGAGTGCCTAATCCGCAGCAGATTTGGGAAAAGCTCCACGAGAAAGGACATAACTTTCTGACAGGTTGAATTTTTGTTATAAAACGCTTAAAATTAAGATGTCGGAGTTCTGTGGCTAAAATTGGTATTCTAGTTTCCTTTTTTTAGGTATTAATGGTGCAGTGTATGGTTTGGCACCCGTAGAAAATCACGATTATCCTTTCGCTTACAGAGGTCTGACGACACACAAAGGAAGGTCTGGTAAAAGTCAAAGTTACGATTTGGAATAGTTTTCTTCCACAATAATTGTCATAAAAATAAATATTTTACTATCGACTATGTTATTATTTACATACAAATGCTTTTTAAACAAATACTCGATACAAAAATAAAAACATTCCCCGTAAACAAATGTTTTCTGCTTATCCTTGAACAAAGTATAAGGACTATAACCATATGAGTAACAAAATTAGAGTGTTTATTCTATCTTCTGTCGGCAGCAGCGGCAGATTACCGCCATCTCTAGCTGGTGCAGCAAACGACGCACTCGAAAACCACAGACCATAAAATAATTAAGGAAACTGCATGGACAAACAATTAGAGTAACCTCTAATTCTACTATTTAATGGCGGTAAATTTAAATGTAACAAAATACACGAAGAATAAAAAGTATTTCATAAGTAATAGATCACAAAACAGTTACTAATAGTTTAAGTTAATAACTGAAATTAACGTGAGCCATTAACAGCTGTTCCATGCCCATTACTTATGAAACACTTTAATTATCACTTGGTTAAGTGAAAAAGTTAAAGCAGTGATACTTAAATGTGTGACAAATATACAAATTCATTATGTTATTTATGAATTCGAGAATATTTAAGTATCAAAAAAATGTACAGGGAGACTATAATAATTATTTTTTTAAAGAAACCATTAAAAACTGCAAATTTTAAAGAATTTAAAAGAATTATTTACCTGCCTTTATGTAAAATACACTGCACAGTTACTTGACAAGAATTATGGATAGATACATTTGTTTCGAACTAATTGGTTCTCATCAGTACGATGTGATATACTGCACTTATAAGCACTTATAGGAAATAACAATTTTAAAGATGTGCATTTCGGTTTTTTAAAAGGTGGAGGTGAAAAATCATCCTAAATTGAAGTTTGGCAGCTCGTACTCTGAAAATTCCGTAACGTTACGTTAATAAATTGTTTTGCTGAATGTTGGATACTATTCGAGGTTTCCGAGGTGATATTATTACAATTAATAGGTGAACTTGTAGTTGATTCTAAAAATAATGGCGGCACAGCACGTCCTGTTACTGTTTTTTAATAGTATATTACTTAATAAGTGTTGTAAAAAGCATTTTACGCACGAATGGAAAAGTTACGCACGAGTGCGTAATTCTATGAGTGCGTAATTGCATTGCACCACGTATTTACTATATTTTACCTACGACCACTACTATAAATACTTAAAAACACACCGTCTGCGATCAATGCAAGATTCCTATTACGCTGTACGGTAAAAAAATCGCACAGCTTGGTAAAAAAATCGTACAGCAACCGCCTAGCGACGGTCAATACAAACAGTATTGTATTGACCGTTGCTAGGAAAACTGTGCGATTTTTTTACCGTACGTAATAGGAATCTTACATTGATCGCAGACGGTGTGTTTTCTTAAGTATTTACAGTAGTGGTCGTAGGTAAACATTTTAACTCAAAATGGTCTTCACAAAAATAATGATCTGTGTTTGTCGGAGTAAATTCTGATTTACATAATTTTCGAACTGATTCTATCCACAGTAATAGTCCGTCTTTTGTAATTCTGAAAAAACTTTTATTTCTATAGAACATATTACAGATATCCATATAGTAGGAAATAATGCTTTTGCAATTTGGAGCACAACATTAACGTTTAGTTCTACCAGGTAAACCCATCTTGGATAAAAAAAAAAACGAATAAACAACAGTATAAGGCAGTTCAGACGCGCCATTATTCCATGGCTAGAAATTGGCCTCAATGATTTGGGATCGAGGGGGATTATCCCTCTTTATCCTGCCTCATCTCGTGTAGGCCTGGACAGCCTTCGTAGGTGGGCCCCATCCGTCGTCTACCCCGACCGCAAATGCGGCTGGTGTAGGCGCTTTGTGGGACCTCCTTTTGTCCTGGCTGGGCCCCGCCGGCTAGGGCCCTTTCTTCTGGAGCTCTTCTTGCTTCGCCGGCTCGTCTGTGTAAGCCCCGGGGGTAGTGTCATGTTTATGTGTGGTATGGTTGGGTAGGGTAGTGCGGCTATACAGCCTGGGATGGTAAGGAGGGTATGGGGGTGTGTATGTGTGTGTGTGTGTCGTTGTCTTCGTTTCTTGATCCTGGCTGTCTCTGAAACAGAAAAGGTTAGCGGGCAGTCGTTGGGGTGGTCACCCAGGGTCAAAAAGTTGGTGTCTAGGTCTTTTGTGTTTGTCGGTCACGTCGTGTACGTAGTCAACGGCTTGCCTGAGGAGGGGATTGTCATGTCTAGCGGCTACGTCAAACCGTTTCTCCGCGTTTTGTCTTATTGTCTGTGTAGAGTTCAGACGATTAATTCAGTAAATCCCTTATTACATTAATCTAAAACAAAACAAATTTAATAATGCATAAAACGCGACAACCTACGTGAACATAAACTATAACCTCAAACATTCTATTTTTGTATTTTCTGTTGATTGAAAGATTACAGTCATGAAAAAAAAAATCGATTCGATCTGTAGTTGCAGATTTCTATAATGAATAATGTTTTGCTGCACCAACGCGAGATGGCCTCAGTACTACATATTTCTGTAGTAGTTTGCGGACAAATACCTGTGTTCAAAACTTTTGCTTTCATATCTCGAATCTCGATGAAAAATAAGTAACACAGGTGTATTTGTATAAAAGTTATTATCAAATATTTGCAAACAGCTTTTCTAAATGTGTGTTTATGGGCAAAAATGTAGATCTAAATCAGGCTTTAGGCAACCATCCTTACGTATAAACAAATACGCACAGACTTTATATAAGAAGTGAAGATTCCGTTTAAAAAAAGTGAGACACTTCTTGAGTTATGTATAGGCGGCACTGATGTAATTAAGTAGAATAAGAAAAAGATGCGCGAGAAATTTAAAATGATATAATGTTTATATAAAACTTAACTTTTTTTTCTAATTTCTCAAATAAGGACGGTAAGGACCTATGCTAAAATTAGAACTTATTTCAGTAACTGACTAAAAACTTTTTAATCTTGCATAGCATCATACAGGAAATGCTCTTGTTGTTATCTGTATAAGTGCTGCGAATATTTCTGCATCCTGTAGATTCTAATCTAAATCGTAAATCATTTTAGGTATATCTCATCTATAGCCTATAAAATCAATGCGTTTCCTAATTTAATTAGTGGTAAATAGTAAACACAAGATGAAGAAGAATTTGAATTTGTGTAAACAGTATAGGTTATGTAAAATATACTACTTTCTGGTTGAAGTTGGAGATAAACATTTGTGTAAAACTAAATAAAATTTGAGTTCTAGGAAGAAATAGCGATCATATCAGTGGTGAATAAAATTTAAATCATGTGATAAGCACATTAAACTAAAGATTTAGTAAACAATTAACCAATCCAACTGCCTATTTTATGTCTATTGAATTGTTCAAATTGTATAAATTTAATCAGTCAGTATTTAATATGTCTTATACTTCAATTAGCAAACATAAGTATTATTGTAATTAGGATAATTTTTAAAATGTCAACCTAGTCCTTTGAACAACTGCAACTATGATGCACGATACCAAAGGTAAGTGTGATCCGGAGCAGATAGTTACAATCGAATGATTTATTGCCACAATTTCTTTTTAGACACTTTACTTAGTCCTGAACAGTCAATGCTTCAGACGAGACACAGTAAATGGACCCCCAACATACTTAAAAAGACGTTTCCACTTTTAAACGAAACATTGAAACAATCTACCGTCGCTACAGCTCCAAAATTACCGAGCCCACCATTTGTAAAACTGTTGAACTCCGAAGCAAACAATGAAATCCAAGTGTTGGTTTTGGACCAATCAGGTAAGGTTTTTAAAATCAACCTTGATTGGGTTTTTCGTCGTAAACTCCATGTTTTTAGATTTGTACGACCTAGGAACGGGCGATGAGACTTTTAATATTATAATAGATCCCGATGCGGATCATCTTATAGACAAAAGCAAAGTTAAGGAGGTAGTGGTAGAAAAGAGCCAGATATTTCAATTACAAGGTAATTTTAATCAGTTGTTTTTATGGTAAAATCAATTACTACTTAATTATTTTTATTGTTTTGTCGATTTTATGTAGGTTATGCTTGCCCATGTGTTGAAGTGGACAAAGACAGGGGTGCGTCAACGTCATCACAGAGTATTGCAAAACAATTACAACCAGCTTTGAATAAAGATAAATTACAACCGGTTCCAAATAAAGATAGGTCGCAGCCAGTTTTGGATAAAGATCCATTAAAATCAGTTTCGAGTAAAGACAGATTACAACCGGTTAGGAACGATAATCCATTACAGTCAGTACTGAATAAAGGTAGATTACAACCAGTGCCACATGAAGATAGATTACAATTGGTTCGGAATAAAGATAGATTACAACCGGTTCTGAGTAAAGATAACTTTCAACTAGTTCCAAATAAAGATAAGTCGCAGCCAATTTGGGATAAAGATCCATTAGAGTTAGTTCCGAATAGAGACAGAATACAACCAGTTTTGGATAAAGATCCATTAAAATCAGTTTCGAATAAAGATAGACTACAACCGGTTAGGAACAATAGTCCATTACAGTCAGTATTGAATAAAGGTAGATTACAACCAGTTCCAAATAAAGATAGATTACAATCACTTCGAAATAAAGATAGATTACAATTGGTTCGGAATAAAGACAAATTACAACCAGTTCGGAATAAAGATAAATTACAACCGGTTAGGAATGAAGATCGATTACAGTCGGTATTAAGTAAAGACAAATTACAACCAGTTCCGAATAAAGATAAATTACAACCATTTAGGAATGAAGATCGATTACAGTCGGTATTAAGTAAAGACAAATTACAACCAGTTCCGAATAAAGATAAATTACAACCGGTTAGGAATGATGATCGATTACAGTCGGTATTAAGTAAAGACAAATTACAACCAGTTCCGAATAAAGGCAGATTACAATCAGTTCGGAATAAAGTTAAATTACAACTGGTTAGGAATGATGAACGATTACAGTCGGTATTAAATAAAGATAAATTACAACCAGTTCTGAATAAAGGCGGATTACAAAAAATTCGGAATAAAACTAAATTACAGCAAGATCTGGACAAAGATAGATTACAACCAGTTCGGAATATCAACGTTCGAGATATCAATGAAGCTTTTAAAAGCAATGACGATGTATCTGTTCAAAGCATTACCGGGACTTTACCGACTGTAGGGGATATTAGTACAACTAACACTAGTATCGAGGGTAGTTTAGAAGAGGATGGGATAGAAGTGGTTCAGGATGGCGAAACCCTTTCTTCATCGGAAGCAAGTAAGTTTCTTTTTGTTTCGATATTAACGATTGCTTTCATCTGACTTGTCATGTAAATATCGCCCATATTTTGACTGCAGCAGTGGAGATCTCCATATGTCGCACGTGCCTGAAACCCGTTCCGTCCTGCACTTCCCAGAAACTGTTCGACGTCGGTAAAAACCAACGGAAGTCTTACGAGCTGAGGCAGAAACTATCCGAAGTGACCGAATCGATCGTAAGTAATAAAAATATATTAATAAACAAATTTTAAGGAAGAACCGAAAATGTTCTAATCAACACTTCACGTCATTAGGACTTTCGTGCCTCGCTGAACCCCGTAGTATGCGCGGACTGCCTGGAGGCTGTACACTCGGCCCACGCTTTCTGGAAACGGGTGAAAATCGTAGAGGAACAGATCGATAAAAGGAGAAACGGCGCGGTCCCCGTCGACCTGAAGGACCTGCTGGAAGAAATCGCGCAGGAGAAATTGGGGAGGGTGCGAGAAAATACGAACAAGAAACAGAGGTTTGTAAGTTTTAGTTTTTTTCTGGTTTATGACGGCAAAAATGACACCATCCGCACAAAAACGAATGATTTTATTACCGACATAGAAATTAATTTACTTAAAAAAAAAGTGCTTTTTCTATCAGTTCCAGGAGAAGCGCTGCAGCAAACTTGGAAGAGTACCTAGAGAAGAGGAAACGAATCATCGATAAATACGTTTCCTCGCTAGAGAACGACAGTCCTCCCCCCGAAACCACATCCGCAAACACCACCGGTTTAAATAAAAACCAAACAAAAAAGACACTCGCCGAAAACAAATCGAACAACGACCAACCTATGGCCTCCATTCTGGGGTGCATTCTATCCGAGCATTCGCAAAATGGCGACTGCGTAATCGAAATTATTAACGAAGACGAGGAACACGATAGTGCAGTCGTAGATCTAGAATCTTCTGTCCCAAATCAAGAATCTACCGTCCCAAATCTAGAATCTGTCCAAAATATCCCAGTTTTGGAGACCGCCACACCAAATCTAGAATCTTCGATCCTAAATCTAGAATCTGACTTCCCGATCCTAGAGCCTTCTCCTGTAATTCTACACGCTTCCGTTCCGAACACCGTAGATTCTGACTTGGCGATCGATACGATTCCCTCGATAGACTCGAACGTTTCAAAATGTAAGCTTTCCGAAGTACAGAAAAATGCCGGTTCGGTTCTAAAGAAGAGATTGATGAACCCAAGTCACATGACTAGTTTGGACACGTTCCTGGCGAGCAGACGAGAAAGATGCCAGACATCCTCGAGGATAGAGACACCGCAAGAAGCGACGAGCAGCTTGAGCGACGAGGAGAGGAAGAGAAAAGCCGGGGACGCGTACAATTACTTGTTTAACGTGAACGTCCCCAAGTAAGTCTTAGCTCTTTGAAACTTAATTGTTCAGGGCGCGAGAAGCTGATGCTCCTTACTTAACTTCGCAGATTTATTTGTTTGCGTTTATTTTCGACACTCTTTTTAATGTTGTGGTGTTCTAATTTCGCAATTGCCCATATTTTTAATCATCGGGGATGTGGGTTTCTAATTTTACTTGTCTAGGAAAAAAAAACCGCCTGTCCCGGACACGTTCGACCTTTTCGATGAGGAGCACGACAAGTACTTTGAGAACTTGAAAGGGGAAGCGGGATGTTTCATGGTGCGGAAGTGGAGGAGGTTAAGCCTGCCGCAAGTTGAGTTTGGCGATCCGCCGTATCTCTGCGAGGATTGCGGTAAGATCGTATCCCCCCTTATTAATATAGTCATTGAAGCTTTTCACCTCTGAATTCTTTGAAACTGAACCGATCGACTTGAAATTTGGCAGATAGATAGAGAAAAGGTCAATGAATATTAGTGACAAAGCGCCGATTGACGCTTCCACACCGTTGGGGGTTGACACCCCTTCTCGGGGGTGGAAATTTAAAAAAAAAATAACGCTAGAAATCGATAGAGCATCAAATTGCAATTGGTATTATGGGTTAAATCTATGTCTAATGCGATGAATTCTACTTTGAAAATCAGTAGGCTGGTTTTTTTAAAGCGTATTAAAATTATGCAGTTTTAACTTTGTAATAAAAAAAAACTTTAAAGGATTGTAAAATTATTTTCAGCTATCACAAGTCTAAAATGGCACTATTTTAAGAAGCAAATAACTTAAATTGCTAAGAAAATAACTTGTCAAATAGAAATTTTTCAGGTCTATCGAAAAAATGCTACAAACCCGTCATTTTTGGTTCATGTTTAAAAAACAAAAACTAGCATTTATTATTATTATTTTCCAATAACTGCCTTAATAACAAGTGACTATCTACTTCATTTAAATAAAAATTTTTTTACTGTCTCGTAGAGAATTTGACGGTATATCATGATTTGATTTTTGCGTCGATTATTACTAAAAATTTATGAGAAAAAAATGCAAAATACACATTTATATTAATTGGAGCGCCTGATAAAATTGTTAAAAGTGGTGTGAAAACATTAAAATTTGAAAAAAAAAAAAATTGCATTTCTCAAAAAAATAAAAATAGTGTGTTTGTAGTTTTGTTTTTTGAGCCAATAACGTCACTAAATCCATTGTTTTCAAAGATCAGACCAAAAGGGGCACGTAATCATTGAAAAATAATGCATTTAAACAGTTCGTTACCACAAAATGTTTTTATCGACAAACGATTGAGCTAACGACTTAATTAGTACAGTCAATCAGTCATTGAAGCTTTTCACCTCTCAATTCTTTGAACCTGAACCGATCGACTTGAAATTTGGCAGATAGTTAGAGAAAAGGTCAATGAACATTAGTGACATAGCGCCGATTGACGCTTCCACCCTGTTGGGTGTTGACACACCTTCTCAGGGGTGGAAATTTTTTTTTCAAAAATAACTGGAAATCGATAGAGAATCAAATTTTGAGCAAAAAGTATTCGAAGAATTTTTTCGAGAAATCAGTAGTTTTTTAGTTATTCACGATTGAAAACTTGGAATTTCCAGTGAAAAAAACACTTTTTCAAAGTATTTTTCGCGAATAACCCAAAAACTACGCATTTTATTAAAAAAAGTGTAATGAACAAAAATGTAGCTTATAAATAAACAAAGAAAATCGTTTTTTAAAAAGTGTTGTACGTCCTATACAAAGCCAACTATGGTTAGTGGAAGGGGACTTGTTTTGGGGGAAATACTCGAATCGATGTATTCAACGTCAAATAACGGAAAAAGGATTAATTTTACGTGTATAACGCTTCGGGAGTTTTTTGTAGTACTCAAAAACACCTTCAAAATGAGCATTTATAAAAGTTAATTAGAGCAAAATTGAAGGAGTTATCGTCAAAAACAGATGGGTTGCTCATATTTTTTAAGGAAGAATGAACAGTAAACGCTGTACCATTTCCATCAGAATTAAAATTAATTGTAGACCCTTTACAATTAGTTTTGTTTTAGTGTTTTTCATACGATGCTGAAGGTAGACCGGTTCAGAATGCGTGTTTTTTTAATATACGGTAAAAGTTGAAAACGTATTTTTCATTATTCAAAAAAAATTACCATATTTATATAATAACTCCGAAACTATGAAAGATACAGAAAATGATAGAAAACAAAAATGTAGCTTTTTTTTCAACAAATATTTTGCTTTTCTTTTATTCCTATAGCATAAAAAATATTGGAGATATCGCCGCTTGAAGTATATCCATTTTAGTGAAAAAAACGACCTGTCTCGAGCCCTTTGATCCTTTCCCTTTAAAAAGTGAAGGACTTAAAAGGTTTTATATGCAAACGATCTCACAGCTCTTGAAATTATCTTTAAAATGCTTTTTTGTAGGATACTATAGCTTCAAAATTAACCGAGTTATGGTAAAAAAACCAATGACATTTTTTCTGGGCAAAATAGGCTTTCTCATTTTTGGAGCAAAATGTTAGGATTCAAGTGCGCGTCAGCGTATATAAAAGTAGCAATTTTTTTTTATGATTGATTTTATTTAAAAATCGATTATAATAAAAAATATTTTACATTAATATTGGTAAAAGGGTAGTTTATAAGATTTAAAAATGGCAAAAGTAAAATATTCTTTCCTAAACAATATAAGGGAATTTTTATTTTAAATTATTGCACAATTATAGCAATCCAAGATTTAAAACATAATTTTTTATCATTTTTTTTAGCACGGGGGGGTGATTTATAAGGGTTGAAAAGTGTTGTGAGATACAAATTCTTTCATAAGCAATGAGGGACTTTTTATTTTAAATAATTGCACCGTTAAAGCATTTAGAGAAGCTTTTAAATAGTAATTTTTTATCATTTTTGTGAATACAGGGGTGGTTTTTAGGGGTTGAAAGGGAAAAATTCTTTTATTAGCTATAAGGTAACTTTTATTTTAAATAATTGCACGATTTAATCATTCCAAATCTTTAAAAAGTAATTTTTTATCATTATTTTTTGCATAGGAGTAGTTTTTAAGGGTTAAATAAAGGGTCGAAAAGATCAAATATATCATAAAACATGTTCGAGAACATGGAACATTATTTAATTTTTTCAATTTTTTTCACTTAGGTGTAGTTTTTACCCCTAAAAAACATAAAGCGTCAATCGAGCTTATGTCACTTTTAAACTTCAGATGAGTCTTAATCTAAATTTTCATGCAAATCCATGCAGTTTCAAAGAATTCGGAGATTATAGCTGATTTTCAGCTTCGGTGACTGTACTATATTACGTATTTAAAATTTACATCGGCGATAAATTCCAGGGAAGCTATTCGCCAAAAAAACCTCATTCAGGAACCACTTGTACCACCACAAGGGCCGAGACGTCAGGATTTGCTCCTACTGCGGTATCCAGATCTCGACGTACCGCCTAAATGAGCACGTCATGACGCGACACAAACCGCCACGCTACGAATGTAACGAATGCGGAAGGAAATTCCACCTAAAGAAGTGAATAACCCACCGGTTCGCTTACCTGATATTAGATTCACGATTTTTGTTTCAGTCTTTTGGCGTTGCACGTGTCGTTGATCCACCAGAATCCGACGAGGCGGTACCCGTGCCATGTATGCGGCGTCATGCTGAGGAAGAACTCGCTGGCGACGCATATGAGAAGGCACAACGTCAGCAGGATATACCCCTGCCAGTTGTGCAAGAAGGTGTTCCAGAATCAGGTCAGTTGGTACTACCACCGGAGGAGGCATACCAAAACCAAAACGTAAGTAATCGTTACGGTGTTTTGAAAAGTTTACAGGGACCTTCAGGCTTTGCGATGGATTAGCGACCGATATCAGAAGCGGGATGTACTGCAAACCGAAATCAGAAGGGGGATATATTTATGTGGAAAATGAATGTGTGTTTATAACCATCTCAGTCATCTTTATTCTACAGATTCAGCTGCAACATTTGTTCGAAGCCCCTAAAAAGCCGTTTCAGCCTCGGCAACCACATGAGATCGTACCACGAGGGCGGAACGTCGAAAACCTGCAACGTCTGCGGCAAGTTACTGTCTAGACGGGAGTCGCTGACCCGCCACATGCGTATAGTACACGGTAAGTTGTTTTTCCTTCAAAGAACTCGCTTTAAGTTGAATGTGGTGTTGTTTTGCAGGACCGAAAGGGAACGTGTTAAGTGGAGATGCGATTAGAACGGAGGATAGAGAAATGTCGGAGCAGGATGAGATCGAGCAAGCGACGAAGCTTATTTCTAACGACTTGGAGCAGGTGGCAGAAGTCACAGAGACGGGAGAGGAGTTGCTTTGTGAGTTTATCGTGGAAGCGCCTACAGGTTTAGAAGAGGTGGAAGTCCCTTACAGTACAATCGATGGCATGTTTTTGTGTTAATCAATTTTTTATAGAAAATAAATATTCGTTTTATAACCTACGTTTTACTATTTTATGACGTTTTGGGACAGTTTTTGTATATTTTCATTAAAAAGTGAGTTTCGGAATGAAAATTTTAACTGAACTGACAGAGAGTGACCTACTAATTAATTATTATTATTAAAAAAAAAACAATTTTATTATTGTAATTAAAAAAAAATATTTTAACTGGGTTTACAGTTCATCATATCCTGATTTTTAGGTTGTATTTCATTGATTTCTTGTAAAACTGCTTTCTCCAAGTCTACCAAAGCCTTCGGTTTCTTATACTGAAAAAAAAATACGATTTAGTAGAAATCAAAACGATCTAGAGGGCCAATCTTGTAGGATCTGCGCTGGTTTATCGGCAATTTACTAATTTTCAATAGATTAGGGAAAAAAATGCCTGCTAAATAAATTGAAAACCCACAAACGTTTAAAATTTACTCACTGTTATTATAAGCGTGTTAAATTTGTGCGAAAAAGATATATTCTCCTGCTCGGGAAGTAAATTCAATCTATCCAGATCTGGTATCGGGAGCTTCTTAAAATACTTCTTGTTGGCGGTCCTTACCACGAGATTCTTACTATCCGGCTCGGCCGTCACGGAATACGTTTCTATGGGATACGGCAAATTCCTGATACGCCACTCCAAGTTCGTCCTTGTGATTCTTCTACTCACGAATGGCTAAAAACAACACCAAGTTACTCGTACAATGAAAAAATTGCACACGACTTAAGCACCTGGTTCGAATTCTCACGAATTAAAACGGTTTCTTCTTTATTGTATACTGGTTCTGGATCTCCGATTTCGACTTCCCACTTGTCCTCGCCTTTCAGTTCTTTGTTGTGTCTCCAGGCTCTTCGAGTGACCACGTTGGTGTCCAAATTGTACTCCTCCACCATTTCTCTTCCATCGCCAAAGTCGAAATGCACCCTCTTTAATTTCCCGTCGACGATACAGGACTTCTTTGCCTTTTTTAGTTGGGCGAACCAGTCGCTCATTTTGGACAACTATCGATCAAACAGTTCTCGAGAAACACGTTTCCATAGCAGTTTCGTATTTTCGTATTATTTGTTTACCTATTGCATTTTAAGGTTATGTACGCAGGAAATTCAGAGATTTGAACATTCAGTACAAAATATCTACTGGTAGTTCAAACAATCCACAATTTGGTTATTTTTCATATAAAATTTTAAGCAGAAGTTTATTTATACTGTTAATCCAATTCCCATAAAGAACAAAGTTTTCTGTGATGTAACATAATAGTCGTAATAGCAAATTTGTGAGCATATAACATTAAAAAATGCGTTTTTTAATATTCAATTTCCCTTTGGTTGGTATCTCAACTATAAATAATTTTTTTAGAGGTTGGTTATAATTGTACGCTGCCATCTTATGTATCATAAATTGAACTTATATTACGAAACAAAACCTTGATATAAAAAAAAACTGTACATTTTTTTTCCCATCTGTCCACTACTAGAGGAACTTAGACTTGGAAACAGAGCGCCATCTTTGAAATAATAGTAGTATTAAGGTGATATTACACATAGAAATCGGTTGCTTGTTCTGTAGTAAATATATTTTTAATATTGTATTTTTTTGCATTAGGGACGTAAATATTTTGACAAAGTTTGTTCAGTTGTGATTGTAAGCTTCTACTAGGTGATAACGCTTTTTGAGGAATGCAGTTTTTGTAAGACAACTTTTGAGGAACAGATTGGTCAGCCTGTCGAGAAAGTGAGACGGCAGTTTGGCCAACACCCTTCATGTGTCATATTTTTTGTCAACAAGTAACCCGCCCCCCTTCGTCATTAATGATTAAAAGTGGAATTATTTAATTCCCCAATCACGTACGGACCGTAAAACCATTAAAAAGTGTTCCACAGTGAGATAGGAGTGTTTTTTTGAAGTGTCGTGTTTCGCAAAATGTCCCTGAAGCCGCAGAACACATAAAAACATATTGTAAATATTTGTCTATAAATATTACACCGTCGTGAGAGGCAGTTAAATTTTTATAGCACGGGTACGTATTGTATTCTTTTAACGTAGAAAGGTAGTAGAATTGCAAAAGAAACGATTGGGTAATCAAACTAACCACACTGTGAGAAATTGGGAATTTCAAAAAATTATTCACTTTCTAAACGTTTTACTTAGATCGTCTGATAACGGGATTACCATCATAGCTCTGTGAAATTGTTTATTTAATTTGTCCTTCTAAACACGATTCATGTCGGGACCGTAAAGCTCTAACCGTTATCAGGATTATTACTATTATCTAACACCACGTTTCGCTGCATTGCTTCATAATTTTAGGTCTATAATGACTTTGAACTGACGTAAAGGAAAATGGCTTCGTCGGTGAACGCTGACACTATCTCTGAGTGTTCGGAAGCCTCCACTTTGCTAGATGGGAGCGTTATATCCACTGTGCCGGACAGGCACGGGTTCCTCGGGGGATCCCAGTATTCCCCGGAGCCCAGACAGGGGCCCCCGCCCGAGACCGTGCTGCGCAGGGAGAGGAAGTGGCTGAAGATGCTGTCCCAGTGGAATTTTTACATGGATAGGAACTACAGGAAGATAAAGGAGAGGTGTAGGAAGGGTAAGTTTGTTTGTTGTTAAATTCGTGTCGTTTTTATCGTTATTTATTCGTTTAATGTTAAATAATCTTACATTGACATAAAAATTACCAAAAACAGTATAAAACAACAAGCATGTGTTATATATGTAGCAAAAAACAAAAAAACTTAATTGGGGACTCATTTTTTTCATCAAACTATGTCAAACAATGGAATCTAGGTATGCAAATGATATCTAACCTCACAAACCAGACTCTTAACTACTGATATTGCAGGAAATGACTGTACCACGGGCTATATACCCCCCAAATAGCATTGAATTACGTCACAGCAATGTCAAATAATAAATAATTCAATAATAATTCAAAATAAAGACTTAAAATTATTTGTCTAAATATAATTAATACAAGAACTCTTACCTGATGTATTAAAATTGTTAAATATTGCAGTCATTCAAAGAAATATCCTGTATTCCTGCTATTCTATTATTACCCTTGACGAAGACTAATCACTTAAAGAAAAACTACTAGGAAGATATATTTTTGTGTTTCCACTTTTTACTTTTTTCCTGTAGAATGAATAAATATTAACGTGTTCGACTATCCAATTAAAAGGGATATCTTTTTTTTGTAAAATGAGTAATACATGCTGTTCATGAAGCGAAATCGCGAACAAATTTACAAAAATATGTTTTACGTTTGATGGAGAAGGAACATTTAATAAGGCTTCAATTTTGCCTGGTCTTATCCCTTCAGCTGATATTTCACGTCCAAGATATGTAATTTTGTGCTGAAGAAATTAACATTTCCTAATATTTAGGGAAAACCCAGCTTTTTGCAAGGCCTGTAAAACTTGTTCCAAATATACCAACCCTTCTTCAACGGTTTCTGATGGAATTAAAACATCATCCATATAAACAAGAGCAATATTATTTTTTAAATTACCCAAAGCAGCGCAAATTGCCCTTTGGAATACTGCAGGTGCATTCGCCAATCCAAATGGCATTTTTAAATATTCAAAATGACCGTCTGGTGTGACAAAGCCCGTCTTATGGATTGAGTTAGGATGGATCGGTATTTGATGGAACCCAGACGCCATGTCAAGAGATGTAAAGAATTTTCCATGTCCAAGTCTATCAAGTTGGTCATCAATACGCGGCAAAGGAAATCTATCTTTAACTGTGTGCGCATTTAATTCGCGAAAATCTACACACAAACGATAAGAGCCTTCCTTCTTTTTTACAAGTAACACGGGGCTAGCATAAGGTGAAGTACTCTCGCGTATAATATTATTTAAGAGTAGATCGTTAATAATTTTGCGTAATTCTTCGCGTTCACTAGCGGCAAGTCGATAAGGATGTCGAGTAACAATAAAGTTATCTGTTAAATTTATTTGCATCGATGTAGTATTTACCACAGACACAGCAGTGCCAGAAGTGACTATATCTGAATATTTTTCAAGTAAACTGCTAACTTGTGAATAACATTCATCCGGTACATCTAATTTGTTAGAATTGTCTCCCGAAACCATTAAAACTCTTGGAAGCTGTCGACTAACAACTCGAGTACCGTCACAATCAGTAACAGCAGCAAGACGCGTATCTGTAAATAAATTACTACCAATGATCACATCGTAGTCAAGGTTAAGGGCAGGTATAATCATAAAGATTAACTTAGTATGTTGACCAGTGATTTCGACATTGGCTTCAAATNGCAAGGCCTGTAAAACTTGTTCCAAATATACCAACCCTTCTTCAACTGTTTCTGATGGAATTAAAACATCATCCATATAAACAAGAGCAATATTATTTTTTAAATTACCCAAAGCAGCGCAAATTGCCCTTTGGAATACTGCAGGTGCATTCGCCAATCCAAATGGCATTTTTAAATATTCAAAATGACCGTCTGGTGTGACAAAGCCCGTCTTATGGATTGAGTTAGGATGGATCGGTATTTGATGGAACCCAGACGCCATGTCAAGAGATGTAAAGAACTTGTTCAGGTGCTGTCCGATTTGATTTGATGGATTTTAATACTTCAGTAAGCAGGGCCTCCATTTTTTTTTTGTTTTCTTTGAATAATTTTCGTGGAAAACAGGGCAGGAATACAGTGATGACGATAGAAAAAGAACTATTGCAAAGTCTTAGTACCGATCCTCAATTTTATAAAGTCATTATAAGTAAATTTGTACATTTAAAAGACGAATGAATAAACCTGTTTTATAAAAACATTCACTACGTTTTTAAAATAATTTGTTAAAAGTGGAAGCAAACGAAAAGTTGGCGGCGTTGTTTTTTATGTAAATAGTTGGTTTTTATATTTTTTAATATTAATAAACCAAGTAGCAACAATTTTGCTAATTATTAGGTAAATATATCACTTTTTTCTGTTACTTAATTTTATTGTAAGTACAACTTTTAAAGTTCTGATATTATTATTAATAATATAATTTTTTAATTTACAATCTTGAGAGGAAAAGGGAAAACCCATATACATCACTACACTATACGGAATTAAGACCGTGGTTTTCCCCTAACTTTGTTACGTTCCCTGATTTATGCAAGGCAAAAAGCATTCACTTATCCCGTACATAGTTGACACATAATTTTGAGTAGTAATCGCCCTGATTCAGTCATTGTACAGGGTGAATGTTAAGTGTGTGCATACAATCTATACTCTTTCAAAATTAGAAATATTGACAGCGATATTAATATTTTTTTAAAGTTTGCCAAGTCATTCGTCAAGAAAATTATTAAGAATAAGACCTCAATATTTAAGTTTCATCCAGTTTAAATGTTTTTGTTGTATTAGACGTTTGCAGCAAGAATTTCTAAAGTCGTTTCCTGCAAAAACGTGCTTCTATGCCTAAAAAAAAAGGAAACGGTGACTTATCACAGGCTTACTAGAGTATACCGACGAAATTTCAGGCATCCCAATGTCCGTCCGGCCCAGAGCATGGCTGTACCTCTGCGGTGGTAAACTCCTGATGGACAAGGAACCCAACAGGTACGAGGACTGCTTGCGGGCCGACGGGGACCCCAAGTGCATCGAGGACATTAGGAAGGACATCCACCGGCAGTTCCCGCTGCACGAGATGTTCAGCTCAGAGGATAAGCCCGGGTAAGCCGCGATATTCGATTTTCGTGCGAAAATTGACGTTTCTGTTCGCAGGCAACAGGAGTTGTTTAACGTTTTGAAGGCGTACACGATCCGTTACCCCGAGATCGGGTATTGCCAAGCGCAAGCGCCCGTGGCGGCTTTCCTGCTGATGCACATGCCCGCCGAGCAGGCATTCTGGTGCCTGGTGTCCATATCTAACAAGTACCTGGAGGACTACTATTCGCCGACGATGGAGGTGGTGCAGAGGGACGGGTTGATTTTGCAAGGTAAGGGCAGTGCTTTTAAATCGCTCATTTGCGACGTTTTATACAAAAATTTACTTCGCTTTCGTTTTTTTAAGCTGTAAAACAAAAAAATTAAATGTCTTCCAGGATTATTTTATGTTTTAAGAGGTCTAAAAGGCATAAAAGTAATTAAAATACATTATTTTTGGTAACCGTGACCAAAAAATTTAGAAAATGAAAACTCGTCATTTGTTTATTACTCGCCTAGCGTCATATTGTCATATCTCATCAGGTGTATTGATATTATGTAGTTTACCCAAACTAGGTCGATGTCAGAGGTCGTTGACCTTGAAATTCACAAACTAAACACGGTGCTTTAAAAATAATACTTTCTGTGCTTTAAAATTTCAAATAATTACATTTCGTCATAATTTTTTCCATAGTTCAACACTTTTTTTACAGTTTAATATAACTTTGTGTTAGTTAAGTACGCAGACAATGAACTAGTTTTTTTAGGGATCGTTTAATTTTTCGTTTGTAAGAATTCGTATGGGAACATATTAAAAGTAATTGTTCAACTTCCAGTTCGACGGGAAATTAGTTTCGTATGTCGTTATCGTTTAATTAACCTTGCGCATTTAAATTAACTCGGATAGCACTTTTAACGACGAATCCAACGATGTACATCGCGTAATTGTATTTTAAAAGTATAATTTGAGGTTTTGGTGTAAAAGACGCAGGTTCGCTTCGGAAATTGCCAAATTGAGTGTGCCATGGAAAAATAAAAACAATCGCTATATATGATGATGGATGTTAGCCTGCAATGTATATAATAAAAATGATATGTTTTATTATAAATTGAAGTGTGCCATGGAAAAATAAAAACAATCGCTCTCTATGAAGATGGTTGTACAGTAGGCTGTGTTAAATCAGAAGAACAACGGTTGCATCCATTTATTTTGACAGTTGTCAAAAGATTGTAGCACAACTTCCAAAAAACAGAGTAAGCAGTGCCAAATTATAAGAATAACAATTACCTCTTGTTTTTTTTTGACAGTTGTCAAACAGTTGCACCGTAGTTTTGCGAAAATTGGTAAAAAAAAACAACAAAATACCCGTTTTATCTCGTTAAAGACATAGTAGTTTGTGCTAATTCGTAAGAATAACAATTGTACGTGTTTATTTTGACAGTTGTCAAAAGATTGTAGCACAACTTCTAAAAAACAGAGTAGGCAGTGCCAAATCATAAGAATAACAATTACCTGTTGTTTATTTTGACAGTTGTCAAACAGTTGCAGCGTAGTTTTGTGAAAATTGGTAAAAAAAAATAACAAAACATCCGTTTTATCTCTTTAAAGACGGAATAGGTTGTGCTGAATTATAAGTATAACAATTGCATGTATTTATTTTGACAGTTGTCAGAAGCTTGTAGCACAACTTCCAAAAAACAGAGTGGGCCATTCCAAATTATAAGAATAACAATTAATTTTTGTTTATTTTGACATTTGTCTAACAAACGCCCGTTTTATTTTGCGAAAGACAGAGTAGGCTGTGCTAAATCATGAGAATAACAATTGCATCCATTTATTTTGACAATTGTCAAGTGTTTGTAGCACAGCTTCTGAAAAACAGTGTAGCCATGGAAAAATAAAAACAATTGCTCTCTATAAAGGTGTATATAAGCCTATTTTGTTAATAATAATAACATTTTCCGTTCCACTATAATCGTTAATTTTAAATTTTCAAATAAATAAATTGCTTAGCTTTCGGAAGTTTAAAATTGTCTGTAATTTCATAATTACGATTACTAAATTACAGCTGCGTACGATGTTGGCAGTTCCGACTTGCTTGTAGCAATTGTTTTTCATGGCCTTCTCTTGAGATTTCAAATGTTTTAAGCTTTCTAGATAATTATTATTGGTTTAACAAATAAATTGATGCTGGGCCACACAACCCGATGCACCCGGGCACGTTTACTTTACATTTTTCGATGTGGAATATAAATCATATCCCACCCGTCTTCTCCGTAGGTCTGCTAAAGAAGGTGTGCCCGCCGGTGTACAAGCACCTGAAAAAGGTGAACGCCGAACCGATGTTCTACTGCACCGAGTGGTTCCTCTGCGCCTTCACGAGGACCCTCCCGTGGGACACGTTGCTGCGGGTGTGGGACATATTCCTCTGCGAAGGCGTCAAGGTGTTGTTCAAGACGTCCCTGGTCATCCTCATAGGTGAGTCGCCGGGATCGAGCGCTTCTTATTCGTCGTCCAACGTTTTTTTATATCCGAATTGTTTACAACGTTCGGTTTCAGGTTGTCTCGGGACGGCGAAGAGCCGGAAGCAATGTCCCGGGCTGTGCGAGACCCTGGCCAGGCTGAGGAACCCGCCGGACGATATCCTGTCCGAGGAGAATCTCGTTTATAACGTGAGTGCGTCGACGATAATAGAAAATGGTACCCGTCGACAATTTTTTTTAGTTACGGATTCTCTTTCGTAGGTAAACAGACTGGACCTTACCGAACGAGATTTCCACATGGAGCACCAGAAGCAGACGAAGCGCATGAAATTGGAGAGGGCGAACGGCAATACGGACACCTTACGGTAATAACGGTGAGTCCAACACCGAATCTCCGTTGCCGGAGGGTATTTTTAGTTCAGTTAGTCTTTCGATCGAATCAGAAGTGGGATATTTTGAAAATTGGTATCAGGAGTGGGATTTACCTGAAATCGAACTATTTCGGCACCATATTTTCATATCGGTTCTTCGACCGCATAAAATCACATATAAAAAAAGTTTTATGAACTGAGCAATCGGTGCGAATGGCAACGGAGATTTAGTCGACATTCTCGCGAGCCGTTAAAGAAATTAATCACTTTTTCTTCCTTCCAGGTGAAAGCTCAAAGTGTATAGTTGTTTGACCAAAAAACGGACAGTATTCAACTAATCTTTTTTATCTATTATTATTGTAAATAGGGCCTACGGAACGGTGCCGAGGCTGGACGCGGGGTACGAGTAAATGCCTTTGAAATAAATTTTTTAATTCGCAGTTAACGAAACCGAACGGGATGAAAAAAATACCACCGCCACGGGATGTTGTTTCGCGCAAATTTTCTTCCGGTCTGCACAATCCCGTAGGCTGTCGCGAGTAAAACGAGCGACAATCTACATTCGGCGATGTTCCGAGGTTAGGGCGAACGTTATCGCCAGAATTGCAAGCGCACAACAAACATGTAAAATTCATAACCTCTCGTAAATGTTCCGCGGCGCGGTTTGTTAATTGTTGAATTTTTCCTTCTGTTTTTTTGGTTTTAATTGAGTTTTTTTACATCACGAGTCAAGTTTCCCTTATTTAGCTAAAGAAAAAGTGTGACTCGCGTATAAAGCAATACGATTCATGTCTCGCAGCTTTATTTTCCACAAAGCGGCTCTGCGTTGGTGAGAAAAGAACAAAATGTCCGTTTTATCTTGCGAGAAACAGAGTAGGCTGTGCTAATTCATAAAAATAACAATTGCATCTGTTTATTTTGACAGTTGTCAAATTATTGTAGCACAGCTTCTGGAAAACAGAGTAGGCTGCGCTAAATCGTAAGAATAACAATTGTGTGCGTTTATTTTGACAGTTGTCAAAAGATTGCAGTACAGCTTCGGAAAAACAGAGTAGGCTGTCCCAAATTATAAGAATAACTATTAGTTTGTTTACTTTGACAGTTGTCGAACGATTACGACGTAGTTTTGTGAAAATTATTATTATTATTATTAAAATTGGTAAAAAAAAATAACAAAACACCCGTTTTATCTTGTTAAAGGCAGAGTAGGCTGTGCTAAATCGTAAGACTAACAATTGCGTGCGTTTATTTTGACAGTTGTCAAATGCTTGTAGCACAGCTTCGGAAAAACAGTAGGCAGTGCCAAATTATAAGAATAAGTATTACCTTTGTTTATTTTGACAGTTGTCAAACAATTTCAGTAAAGTTTTGGAAAAACAGAGTAGGCCGTGCCAAATTATAAGAATAACTATTAGTTTGTTTATTTTGACAGTTGTCGAACAATTGCAACGTAGTTTTGTGAAAATTGATTAAAAAAAATAACAAAACACCCTTTTTATCTTGTTAAAGACAGAGTAGGCTGTGCTAAATCGTAAGAATAACAATTGCATGTGTTTATTTTGACAGTTGTGAAATGCTTGTAGCACAGTTTCTAGAAAACAAAGTAGGCAGTGCCAAATTATAAAAATAACTATTACCTTTGTTTATTTTGACAGTTGTCAAACGGTTGCGAAGTAATTTTATGAAAATTGGTAAAAAAATAACAAAACACCCGTTTTATCTTGTTACAGACAGAGTAGACTGTGTTAACTCGTAAGAATAACAATTGCATGTGTTTATTTTGACAGTTGTCAAATGCTTGTAGCACAACTTCTGAAAAACAGAGTAGGCCGTTCCGAATTATAAGAATAACAATTACTTTTGTCTATTTTGACATTTGTCAAACTATTGCAACGCAGCTTGTGGGAAACACAGTAGGCCGCGCCGGATTGTAAAAATAACAATCGCATCGTTTTATTTTGACAGCTAACAAACGATTGTAGCGCAGCTTGCTTGATTCCTCCGTTTCCTTCATTTCGTTTAATTTACTCGAAGAATAAAGCAGGATCCGTTCCGGTTTTGGGGAGAGCGCGGTTTCCGTCCGCCCGGTACCGTTCCGTACCGCAAACACCTACTTGTATAGTCGTAGTTATCCACTTTTTATATAATAATATATTAGACGGCAGTTATTTTTTTCAAAGTTTTATATTATATTATTTAATACTAGGGGCACCTTTTAAGTTTAAAGTGTGCGGACGCAAGTTTTAATTTGTTGTATTTATTTATGTAACTTGTAAGATGGCATTTATAAGGTTAGTTTCGTTTTATTTTTTTCGGAATCCTTTTTCTACTATCGTTTAGTTTTTCAGTCCCGTTTGGGGTAATTAGTTAAAAAAAAAAAAATAAAAGATCAACGAAAGCGGGGATTGCGCGCATTGTGCAATCTTATGAGGAGTATTAACAGTGGGACGTATGGAAATTGTATATTTATTTCGTGTTATCTAAATAAAAGATATATTTAAATCCAACATCGTCGTTTTTTATTACCAACCCGTTAACTTTAAAAAAATGTTATTGTTTTTGGCTAAATAATTGTTTTGTCTATGAAGAAAATGCTGGTAGGCTATTTTGGGGTCATTAAATTTATTTCTATCTGTTAAAAGTTGGGCTTTAACGAGTTACGAAAGTTCTTCCTTGTGACACGAAAGTCGTTCGTTCTAGGGACAAATGGGGACCAAATTCGAATTCCTCTCGTTTGCTTTCCTAAAATTAGTTTCAAAAAGTAATCTATTAAATTATTAATAGTCCAACCAAGTTACACTTGGAGAAAAAAAAAATTGTTATCCGGACTTTTATAAGTGGAAATGGTAAAAGGTCTTATAATAAACCTAAAAAAAATAAATAAATGCGTGAGCATGGTTGGCGGAGGGTTGATTTGGGGGGTTGAAAATTTGTGATAAATTGTATCATTGGGATTTCTGGCGAAAGTTGACGTCAAACAAAAAAGTATCCACTACAAAAGTTGTAAATCATGCAAAAATCTACAACTTTTATGGAAGTTACTTTTTAAGATAACCTCAAAATTTCCAAGAAAAATGCGAAAAACAGATTTTTTCAGATTTTTCGTTTTTTAGTTCTCATTTCCGCAAAAATAATTTAATTTTGACGAAACTTGGTGAAAGTATACCCTTCTGTGTCTTAAATAATCACAAATTTTTTTAGATAAAAAAATCAAGAAGTTTCCGAGATATTAATTTTTTTCCAGTCTGAAAAACTTTTTTTTTCAAAGAAAAATTCTGCTTAGGAAAATCGTCGTACAGAGTTCTGCCGGTGATCATTTTTTTCGTTTTGACATATACTTTTTGGTGACATAAAAATATCTGTAATCACAGTTCAAAAACATGCTCAAAAATGCAAAAAAATACAAAATGCCTTACAACAATGAATTTTTCAGTAATTGTTGATAATTTGTTTAAATTAAAAAAGATTCAAAAACTAATTACACCATTCAATTCTACGGAAAAAAATACATAAAACTGTGTCTCATGGTTTGATCAAAAACTTTATTTTTGTACAGTATTGCTATAAACATCTAAGTCGAATTAATTACAAATGCACAAATGATAAATTATCTCTGGATGATTTGAGATTTCAGCAATACAAAGTATTAACTGCAAAGTCTACTGTTGACGCGAAACCCGAAAACCCGAAATTTTGAAAATCGTTTTATTTTTTTTCTGGCTTTATTTGAAAACGAATTTTAAAATAAATTGCATATTTACAATGCCACTTTTTTCGCTCTATCCAATGGCGTCAACATTTTTGCAATCCGACGTTTCGTCTTCGAGGGTCCATCGTCAGGATAATTTTTTTAAATACGTCGCTGCTATTTTTTTTTATGACAAAATCTAGTCATTTTTAATTCTGAATTAGATGATGATATTATTATTGTAATAAAAAGGTTTTTAGCTATCGTTTAAAATTTTTCCTGAGTACGGCTCTGAACGCTTTCAAAATATCTATTGGAGAAAGTCATAACTGTATAAAAGTCAACACAGCACAAAATATCCAACAAGCTATTACAATGGTAATATCTACTTCAAAATTAAAAATTAGTTTAGATTTTGTCATAAAAATAGCAGCGACGTATTTAAAAAAATTAACCTGATGATGATTAATCGAAGACGAAACGTCGGATTGTAAAAATGTTGACGCCATTGTATAGAGCGAAAAAAGTGGCATTGTAAATATGCAATTTATTTTAAAATTCGTTTTCAAATAAAGCCAGAAAAAAAATAGAACCAATTTTGCAAAATTTCGTTTTTTTCCGGATATCTCCGCAACTACCCGGGATTTTAAAACTTTCTAAACGGCATATTGTTAGGTATAAAAATACACAACTTTTTTCTAATCTGAGCCACCCCGTATCTCTTACTGTTTCCGAGATCCTAATGCAATCCATCCTTATCTTGGACACAATATATATCTATGAATTCATCAAAATTAAAAAAAAAATAAGTGCACTAATCGATCCAACGGAAAAAAAATATTATTTATTTTGTTTATTCACTATTTGACTTATGTTTATGGCAATACTGTACAAAAAGTTTTGCGTCAAACAATGGGACAGTTTTTTTGTATTTTTTCTGTACAATTGAATGGTGTAATCAGTTTTTAATTTTTTTTAAATTTAATCAAATTATCAACGATTTCTGAAAAGTTCATTTGTTGCAAGTCATTTTTTATTTTTTTGTATTTTTGAGCATGTTTTTGAACTGTGATTACAAATTTTTTTATTTCACCAAAAAGTATGTCAAAACAAAAAAAAATGGTTACCAGCAGAACTCTGTACGATGATTTTTCTAAATAGAATTTTTCTTTGAAGAAAAAGTGTTTCAGACCGGAAAAAATTGATATCTCGGAAACTTCTTGATTTTTTATCTACAAAATTCGTGGTTATTTGAGACAAATAAAGCTATACTTTCACCAAGTTTCGTCAAAATTAAATTATTTTTGCGGAAATGAGAAATAAAAAACGAAAAATCAGAAAAAAAACTGTTTTTCGCATTTTCTCGGAAATATTGAGGTTATCTTAAAAAGTGACCTCTACAAAAGTTGTAGATTTTTGCATGATCTACAACTTTTGTATTAGATATTTTTTTATTTGACGTCAACTTTCGCCAGAAATCCCAATGATACAATTTTTCACAATTTTTTCAATCCCTCAAATCAACCCTCCGCCACCCCTGCTCACGCATTTATTTTTTTTCTTTTAGTATAAACCTATCTACCATTTCCACTTATAAAAGTCCAGGTAACAATTTTCTTTTTTTTTCCCTTCTAAATGAGTTATTGTTTCGGTCTATATTCTATAAAGATACTTAACGAAATATCTACAATGTTCCTAATGGTGCTGCAACCAGCATTACAGCCATCTTGTAATTGTGGTGTTGGGACCAAAATATTGGTTCATAAACCAATATTTTTTCTATTTAATTTTATTTCTTTGCAAAATATAGAACGTAAAGAAAAGCCAAACTATATCGATCCTCTCAAATTCAATGCAAATATTTATTTTCTGTTAACCCTTCAGAGCAAGGATATACAGTGTGTCTAATTAAATCGGCACCATATGGGACACTTTTTTATTATTGGTTTTATGAAAAAAAGTTATTCCTGATAAAAAGTCCTGCATGGCCTAAAACCCAAAATGAAGGAATCAGATTTCAATTTTTTGCAGTCGTATACGATGTTTGTCGAATAATGTAAATTTTGCTCAAGAGTAAAGTACCTTTATTTTTTACAATATCGACAATCGCCATTAAGAAAAGTTGATCCTAATAGAAAACTACGGTCAGATATCCAATATTGTCCATCTACCATTAAAAATAATCTTTAATAATTTTTGGGTATGATTAGGGTGGCCCAAAAAGAACGAATATTTTTTTTCGTGTCTCTCGTGAAAATATGTTAGTTTATCATGTTTTAAGAGCTCCCTCAAAAAAATCAGCTCAAAAAAATTTTTTTAGAGGTCGCTCAAGATTTTTAAAATTTTCCAATATCGTCAAAAATTGATTTTTTTAATATTTTTTTTCTCGTTATTTTATTATTTTTTAGGTTGAAAAAAATCTCGATTCTGAAAATTTCAAATCGATATTTTAATTTCTAAAGGTCACTCATAATTATTTTAACTTTAAAAGTAGTGTGCCTAAAATGTTTTCGAGCGACCTCTAAAAATAAATATCAACGAACTGAAAATTTTTTTAAATGAATTTGATGAACAAAAGAATAGAAATAAATCAGGACATTTAAAAAATTTCTCGAGGCATAATTTACTACCGTACTGTGACTATCAAATATTTATAATTTTGTAATTTTTTAAAATTTAAGTGACGTGATTTATTTCTATTCTTTTGTTCATCAAATTCAATAAAAAAAATTATTATTTCGTTGATATTTATTTTTAGGTCATTCGGAAACATACTACAACTACTTTGAAAGTTAAATAAATTATGAGTGACCTTCAGAAATTGAAATATAGATTTGAAATTTTCAGAATAGAGATTTTTTTCAACCTAGAAAATGATAAAATAACGAGAAAAAAAATTTAAAAAAAAATTCAATTTTTGACGATTTTGGAAGTTTTTAAAAATCTTGAGCGACCTCTAAAAAAATTTTTTCGAGCTGATTTTTTGAAGGGACTTAACACATGATAAACTAACATATTTTCACAAGAGACACGAAAACAAAAATATTCGTTTTTTTTGGGCCACCCTAATGAATTAGTAGGAAATAAACAAATAAATTATATGGATGGATAATATTGGATATCTGAGTATAGTTTTTTGTTAGGATAAACTTTTCTTAATAACTCTTGTCGATATTGTAAAAAATAAAGGTACTTTACTCTTGAGCAAAATTTACATTTTTCGACAAACCTCGTATACGGCTGCAAAAAATTGAAGTCTGATTTCTTCATTTTGGGTTTTAGGCCATGCAGGACTTTTTATCGGGAATAACTTTTTTTCATAAAACCAATAATAAAAAAGTATCCCATATATGGTGCCGACTTAATTGGACACATTGTATATGATTTTTTATTAGTGACACGAAAACCACTTGTTCTGGAATAGGATGAAGTCAAAATCTAATTCGTCGTATTCAATTTACTGTAATTAAATAATCAAAAGTTATTTATTTGAATTGTTAAAATTACATTTCTAATTAACTGCAAAATTCCTAAAGTTACGGCAACCAGTATTACAGTCATCTTGTAATTATGGTGGTGTGGATACTATAAAACTATTTTCTTTATTTACTTGATTCCCTGCCAAAATATAAAACGTAAAGACTACCTTTAATTCTCAAATTCAGTGCTAATACCCACACAGCACATGACGTCCCTGGGATATCCTCATTTAGTCCTATATATATCCTAATCGGGGATCTCACTCCTCAGGATATCCTGATGATATTTAAATAAGACAAGTAGATCCTATCAATATCCTAGTTGGGGATATCCCAGGTA